AGCAGCAGGAATTTCAAATCGACCCTATTGAAAACAGTCCGAGGAGCAATACGATGGAGCCTAATCGTCGGGCTAGTTGCACCTTGAGCAGCTTATTTTGACAGAAATATTCAACGCATCACTTTTTGAATGTAATACTTAAGATTTGAGTAATACTTTAAAAAGCATCAGTTAACTTTCTTCGAAGGAACAGGTCAGCATTATTTTACGTTTATCACAATGAAAAAATGGGTGCTATTTTGCCCTACTTCGTAAAATACGAGGGACAGTATTGACCGTTTTTTATGTTAGTTGAGGACGAAACGTTCAGTTTAATAATTGCTCACCGGGACCGCTTTCACGTACTCTCTCAGGTGGCGATAGTAAGCATCTGTCTGCGAATTAAAAATGACTACCGTTTACTGTTCTATCACCGCAGTATACCGCCTAATGATACATGACATATCTGAAAGTTGGCAAACGAGGCAGATGGTCGGTCGGTTCCTTTCTCATTACTCATAATGCACGGCGTCCTACAGATATGTTGTTCAACATCGGCGATTACAGCACTGCAGTAAATTTTATCATACAGTAGTCGGACAGGATGTAACCTGTTTTCTGTGTTAGAGCGTCGATTGATTTTTTGCAAGCGACGGAAGCGCCCAACAAAAGAGGAATGGAACAGAATACTGGCAACTCGAAGGACTGCGAGGGATGTGCAAAATAGCGAACAGTGTTTTCATGGGTCGATCATTGTCCGGCTATTTACGAATAACTGAATTTGCTCGAGGGACTTATTTATCATGCAGTAGTTCGCATAGTAACTCGAGGAGGTGCAACAGCGAATCAATGCCACAGCCAAGGATGCGAGATTGAAGAAGAGAGTTGACCTCCAGATGAAACTCCAATCTCTGCTTCGCCCCATGAATGAAAGAAGTATGGCCACGAGAGTTGTTAACCTCTCGAAAAGGAATCTCCTACCGGCTGAAATCAACCTCCTGTCGAAGGGAATAGGATTTAATCCCACGGATGCTGCACCTACCAACTTTCTGGCTGGTCTCGAATCCATTCTACTGACCTCTGTCCTGCCTGAAGACAAGCGCGCGGACATACGCAGCTGTGCCACTGGTATCCTCCGGCAAAAAAAACACCAGCAAACTCTACCGGCCGAAGAAGCGCAAGGATTGCGAGCACTGAAATCGGACCACAGTATTGTTGTTGTTCCTGCCGACAAAGGTGGCGCTACCGTCATCATGGACAAAACTGACTACGCCAACAAGACGAATACAATCTTCAGTGACACGGATTCTTACACCATTCTCACCGAAGACCCAACGAAAAAGCAAGCCGCAGCCATCCAGAAAAAGGTTAATGAGTTTGCTCGTCTGAAAGTCATAGGTCTAGATGACTCAAAGTTTATGACCCTCAGTGGTCAGGCTCAGGCTCCGTAATCATAGGTTGACTAAGAACATAAAACTCTTTGCGCCCTTCCGCTGTTGCCTAGCCTGTGCTTTTGAAACTAACATATCGCTTTTTACACCAATATATTCGTTCCAATATAACGTAAGCGGCTGGAAGAAAGCTTATTGAAAGTAACGTTTGCTCGCCCCCTCGTCTTCAGATAATTACAATGGGAATTTTCACAATTATGAACCAATCGTAAGAAAACATTTATTTTCTAGAAAACACGTCAAATATGTGAAGCGCTAAGGGAGCCCAGCACGGCACAAGTTAAAACACGTAAAGATGTGGATTTTGCTTAATTTAGCGCCATCGGTACGCGTGCATGAATACCAGCGCGTGGCAAACCATGGTAGGTGCATGTTTATCGATCACTCGCCCGCAGGTTAACCAAACGCAGTCTAACACACGTGCGCACAGGTTGTCTTCAAAGAAATACGCATGCCCTACGCACTACTATCGCAGTGTATTAAGAGGGTAAGAGGCAGAGGACAAACAATTTTACTAATGTCATTTACAGTTAGTAAACTGTCGACAAAGTGCCCCACAGGGGCCCCACCAATTATGTGATGGAGGCAAAATTAGGCCGAATTCGGGGATGAAATTGATTATTTAAAACCCGCAATCTGACAGCCAACCAACAGCGGAAAATTCGTGAGGAAGAAAGTAGTATGCACGTGTCTCTGAGAAACGGTGTGTAGGCAGGATGCTTACACCGATACCTATCGGCTGAGGAGTTGGTACATTTTTTTTAATAATGGCGTTTCTCCTAGTGGCGAAGTGGAATAAGGAGTACGTGATGCCATATGATTTCGGTGGAGGGAGGATGGCCTTACGACTTCAGTGAACAAATGTTCAGTCTGTCAAAACTGCACTTCGAAACATTGGTCGCCGTGCGCAAAATGGCTTTCCTATGCCGATTCCCTTTACAGTGGTCACCTGTAGTCACGTTAATAAAGAACTTGCCAGATAAACGAACTGCGATGTCATATAATCGTTTAAGCTACATTTGAAGAGACGATGCAATATCTGTGCGTAATTAAGCAATGAACATTTGAGTGGTTAGCAATAATGCTAAGCGAAGCGCATACGTCTCAGTTTACATTTGAAGGTTTAGTTGTCACGCAACATCATATATAACGTAGGTCGCAATGTTAGTGAAATGTATTTTTGTGCCATTTTTTGAGTCTTGCACTAGGTTTTATGATGGCAGAATTTTCGAGAAACAAAATGTTGTCTGCCAGGTAAGCGTCGACTAAAGTTTCTCTAACTTCATATGATGTAGGGACTGTTAGCTGGGCATCGTCAACAGTGTTTTCGAAACTTCTGATAGGCGAAAACCAGCGCAAAATTTACAATTAGTTTAGAGCAAGAAAACAGGAGAGCACTAAGTAACGGCAGCAGAGTCGAAGGCAGTACACTTTGCCAATTTGTTCGGCATACGTTCGCGGGCATGAGTGCGAGCCCGTGGTAAACAGTGGTGGTCTCATGTATATCGATCAGTCAAACACACAGGTTAGCGACATACTGTCTTGCATACACTTGCGCACTTTGTATTTGAGGAAATCAGCCTACCATACTCGCCATAATGCCAAATATAGAACCTTGAAGAAAAAACGCGGTAGCCGGGATCACATAGACACCAGTGAATGACAGTGATGCACCCACGCACAAAGAGCATTTCACAAAACAATTTTGGCTGTCTGAAAACGTGGGGCATAATGACGGTAAGATAACTCTGCCACTGATGTGCTCAACTGTCGTCAACAGCAGTAAATACGCAGACGGCGATTGTTAATGTTAATGACACTTTAAGCCAGTACGCTGTCGACAGAGCAGACGGTATTTCTTGGAAAACCAAAGGGAAACTAAACATCCACTGACCATAAATCAATATTATGCACACTGCATCGTGGGACAGACAGGGTAATGCAAGGCTAATAAAAGATGGAGTTTTTTTAGCAAATTCCCAGGAAGCGTGAACGAATTCTTTGTGAGAAATGCGTGCAGAAGAAAGCACCGCTCTGATCACTTTGTGGCACGAAGTGAAGGGCGACCGTTTTCTTGACTGTGTCATGGAATTGGGAGAAGATATTGTTTTCGTTACGGTGGCTATTGCCTGCAGTGATGTAGAATGAGGATTTCGTGGCGTGAGATTATCAGATACGTGAGAGTGACCCCTAGATAATGTTATAATTATACTCTCAGTACGCCAAAGTTGTCAAAATGCTCTCGTGGTTGTTCACTGCCTACAGACAGTTTAAAAATCCATGTGCAATCTTTTTACTTCAAATGGACATATTTCTGCAATAATAGATATCGCGCGACTTAAAAGTCGAATTTCAACGTACGTAGATTCACAGTTTGTGACACATTCCTATCTAACTCACATTAAGCATTGTTGCATTTGGCCGTAGTTGAGGATTTGGGATGGCCTTGTTCTGTTATTGAATATGTGCGGAAAGTATCATAAGTGGCTTGGCACATAGCCTAAATTGTAGAGCAGGCGATAAGGTACAGTTTTACGCGGAGGACCATATTTTTGTGTTTATCTAGGATTTTTGTAAAAGGTACTCTTTTGAACTTTAGAAGAATATGAATTTGCGCATAGAGCAAATGTGTTTCCCCAGGAAATTTTAATGCATTAAGGTTGTAACTAAGAGGAAATAGATTAAATTACTTAATGATTGTTCGTCTTATGCGCCATGTGAAAACAACTCCATAGAAACGCTGTCAGGACACATCAAAGTAGCGTAGTCCGCAATGAAATACGCAATACACAATCAAGCGGAGCATCGCATAATTGCAAGAAATGGTCTTTATCGATGTTACGTTTTCACGATTTGTAAGTAAATAGGGAGCTCCATTCCGGCGCATCACATAAATCAATGGTACTCCGAAGTGAGGTCTGAAAGAAAACCGTTTCTGTTTCAAAAAGTCTGTCCGTCAATTAAAAAGCGCTGTCAACTTCTTTAAACAATAAATGGGGTAGGTATCCTATCAAATGGTATTACGTCATTAGGCCCACTTTATAAGAAATCATTCTGGCTACTAGAACTTATTTACAGCAGTATTTTAGCTAACATTTTAGCAGTCGTAAGCGTTTTTGGTTCGCAAGTGGATAGTAGAGTGTTTATCTTGAGCATAACCACTAAATGCCGTTAGCGTAACTGCGCCCTGTCCCGTCACATCATTTTAATGACCCTCATTAAGATGAAATTAATCGTCGTCGTATTCCTTCCGAACACCAAAGTGTCTGTGGCACAGGTCCTATGCGGTAAGGGCTGTGTAAACAAAACAACGCTAGATTACTCGCTTGCATACATTTATTACTTAATCCGCTTAACCATTTCGCAAATCGTGATTTCGGGCAGTGTAGATTTATAAGAATAGGATTTCGACTTTTATAATACTTCAGTCGTCATATTGTCCGTATCATATTCTGATTGTTGCTTACCTCATACGTAATCAGCATGCATAAATTTTGCCTTATGCGTAGATCTAGTGACAATGAGTGTTCAGAAGTAAAACATTCTGAGATATACTTTACGAACATGCGGCAATAAAAAATGCAGACGTCATAAAGGCACTTGCATGTCGTGTCACGGTTGATTTTTTTTTTGCAATGCACGCTCTTAGCTGTCGTCCGTTCGATTATGTAGAAGATTGCAACAGCGAAAAGGTAAAATCATGTTAAGTTTCAATGGCTTAATCTTTCTATTCTTAGCGTAAATGAACGATGAGCGTCGCTGTGCCACCTGGTCGTTAAATCCAAAATTAAATAACCTAGCAACAAAAGCCTTCCGCGCTCGGCGAATTAGCGCTTTGTTTCTTACTGGGATTAGGACAAACGTGCAACACGCCATATCGAACATACACGTACAGACATAAGGTCTGCAAAATCGCCACAAATGCACCCGTACGATGTAAAAAGTAGTGGAAAATCTCATCACCTTACTAACGTGTACTGTCGCTATTGGGAACCAGGTGCGAACTGATCATTTATCGTTAGCACACGGAGCGCCCTGTCTGCTGGCTTTCTCATCTGCCTTCCGTGATTCGAATAACCCCGAGCTTACAAATGAATATTTAGGCTTAGACGATGGTTATTTCAGAACAGTGTTCTTCAAATCAGTGTCAAATGCTTTGACCAGGTCTGAGACAGCTGTAAACACAAGAGATTGCCCGAACATAATGCGATGTGGGCCAAAAAAGCACAATTTATTTACCCAATAAAATAGGTGAGATATGTTTACAATAGTTTAACGTATTCGTTTCTGGCTGAAATACAAATAATCCGAGAGGAGGCAGCCCAGAGGGAGAAATAGGCATCCGGAGAGGAAAAAATTACTAGAACCGACCAAATGAAAGTACTTCACATTGATTTATGGAACAGTTTGATTTACTTTGTACAGTTTTTTGCCTTCTGCACCGTTTTAGTGCTTTTTAGGTTAGGAAGGTAGGATTAAAAATTCTACATTATACCTCAGGAAACTCCAATGTGCATCATCGTTCTCAGTAACTATATAAATATCTTATGTAGGTGTAGATATTAAATCCTGTTCGAAATTAAAATTTAATTATGATTCTTCTTGAGAGACATCAACTTACTTGAGCTCAATGCCAGATGTAGGCATCTAAAACAATAATAATGCCTATTAAGAACAGGCACAAACAGCGGGATTCATCGAGGCTAAACATTTTGTGACGGCTTCTTAACTGCTACCACTCTCTGCATAACCTAGTTAAGAAAAGAAGGCACACAGCAGTATGCATATTTACAGAATGTTCCCACCCAATCTACGACCACCATTCCAGTGTTATCCTCGTCTCCGTAAGAACAGGTATTGGCCGGGTCCCAAATGCAAAAAACGGCAGGCGAGTACTGACGTGTGCTGAGTATAGCCGACTGTTTGCCATGAACGCTGGCTTTCAGCATCGCCACGTACAAGTTCTAACGTAGTTTTCAAGCGTGACTTGTTAGGTCGATCAGATCAACAACGACCTAGTTCGTTCGTGGTTTTGCAGCTTGGCTTACTCTAGTAGATATTTGCTTGATGCCAATACCACCGTCTACCATCCGTCGGACCATGCAAACGGTCATAACAGGCTGACATTGTACTTCTTACTAACAGCCAAATTGACGCATTAGTAAGTTTGCTTAGTGATGACAATATTAATCAGAGTATGCTCTGGAGAAAATAAACATCTAAGCCTTTTGTCGAAGCAGCATTCGATTGTTTTTAATTTTCAGGAATTACTATAGAAACATTAATGCAACAAGAAAAAAAAACATTAAAATAAAACAGTGTCGAAATATTTAGTCTTCACACGCTATCTTTCCGATGGAATGTGACCAACGACTACAACGCGCAAACCGTGTATTTGTAAGTCTTTAAACTCAATGTGACCACTGAATAATAACTATTTCAATTTTTAGTTTTAGTGCGTTTCCAAATGACAGAATAACACGTGCACTTCCAAACAGAGAACCACCCACAACAGTTATTACTGTACTTCGGCATGTAAAATGAAAAATATCAGTGAATGTATAGCATTGAAAATATGATATATCGCGCTGGTCTGCAAAATTTGTCATTTTCTTCGCATCTTGCATCACATGCCACCTGCCAAATAGTAAAAAAATTACCAACTGTGAACCGTTTGCATGAAGAAACAACTTCCATTTCATTACATAACACTTAGGTGCCGAGAAGAAGTCTGCATAAGTTGCCAATTCAAGAAATTGTCCGAATATCAAGCAACGTGGAAGCCAAATAGCAGAAGACCTCTGCCCAATAAGATATTCGCGTAATTTTATGCACGAGGAAAAGGCGTTTTGCACTAAGAACTATTAAATTAATACAAACATCTAACGTATTAGGTGCCTAGAAATTATCTTTTTGGCATTTGTCATCATTTTGTATGAGTTTCGCCACCTTATTTATGTCCAACCTGATCCCGAGAGCCATAGCTTCGGACACACTTTACATTTCCTATTACAAGCACAGTGAAGCGACAACTTGCCTGTTCGATATTATCGGTTGGGATCTTCCTATTGCCCCACTCGTTCACTATCTAAAATCGGAATTAACATTGCATAACAGCGGATACGCCAAGGGTTGTTTGTTGTAGAAGTCCAAGTGCACCCACTACTAAATTTGATAAAGTAACACTAAACACGGATAAAATTTGTTACTGATTAAGAAGGCTGTTCTTATCTATGAACATGGCTTTATGTTTCGTGAGCAATTTGAATGTCGCACGTTCGACCGCCATGCCGAACAATGTTTGACGTGTGTGAGCAGGCACGGTGACTCAGTTTACAATTAGAGTAGACTTGCACAACATCTACCGCACTATCTCCTGCTCCCCACCTGGAACCGGTATGCAACTAAAATCAAAGGGGCATAAAGTGTAGGACGGCGCAGTTGGCCGGTACGGTCGTGCCAGCAACAAAGCGTACCACTACGCCCACTGGTCCCCACCAAACACTTGACAGCATTTTAACTAACTACAAAATGGATCATCAAGGGTCAAAACGGCAAGGAAGGATGGACAGACTGCGTCTTCAGTCTACCGGCACAGACCCACGTGAAAAGAGCCCCCAACGTACACAAGGCCGCGAGACTCATGGTTTACTGATGCTAACTTAACAGGTGCTTACATATACTATGCTAATAGTCCAGTTGATACCTTGATGACCATGCGACGGCCACGCAGAAATATCTGTCGATGCACCCGAGATCGTATGCGGATTTCTTGTCGTTTACTCAGATAAGGAATTGGGTGAGTAGCGGAAGAGGGCGTACATTTAATTCAGCGCAAGCATACTATCAGGTTAAAATACGTGACCGACAAGTCGCCGTCTTTGAGCGCAAATTGTCAGGGCTCTATTTGGGACATTGTTCGTAATGAGGGATGAACTGTCGGGAATTCGTTTGGTACTACACACATAGAGACAGCACGCTTAACGATGTGCACTTCTAGATAAGAATCACCTGGCGCAGTAAATGTGAGTGCATTATTCTAGTGAAATGGCAGTTGATTCCTAGATGCCTCCGGAGAAGTAGTGTCAAAAGGTCGTGTGAGCAACAGTCACGACCGAGTGAGATTTTACCCAGGGTCATTTTTATATCACAATGAATTTAAATGTTCTCAAAAGTGTTGCTTGTGCAATATCTATTTTGTATATATTTATTCATTACAGTCAAGTAGCAAGATTTCCCTCATTTAGTGACTGTCTTACTTCTCATTGAAGTCTAGGCCAATTTTCATTTTTTATAAGTCAAGCTAATCCCGAATAGATGTGCAGGTTTCAGTCGTAGGCGAACTAATAAGTAAGGAAAGTGGCTGTTTGATCAGGCAAACATTCAACTTACAGATCTGAACGTTTAATAGCACAAGAGACAATTGAGGACATGCAAGCAAATCATTGGTCGATGCCGGAAGACTGGAGATAAGTGCGCTGTTCTTTGTTAACTGGCGCCATATCGATAGATCGATAGAATGTGTACTCAACCGCGTACAAGGTTTTAATAAATGTTCGGCCTGTTTTGATTCCGGCGGGGACGATTGCTTTGGATGCTGCGAAGAATCCACACAAATGCTTCTTTCATAGGAGGAGAAGTCTAACACGAATCCACGGTTGTTTTGACTGGGGTGCTTCCATTAATTTTGACGGCCAGCTACTTTCTCAGTTGGTTAATATCCGGCGGCCTCCCATTCAAGGAGAAGCAAAGATTCTAGGCGAAAGCGCAAGTTAACTGACGGTCTTAGTGCTATTTACGAGTACATCTGATGAGATTTTTTCTGCAGTCTACTTCGTTCATGTGCATTTTGAGCGTAAATCGGAATCGTTGGCAGAAAACATTATGGCTACTTTAACGCTTCCAGTAACATCGTTCCTGAAAACCGACAAATTCCTGGGAAAGGGGTTTTAATGTTTTTCACATATACGTCAGTAGATGTAAAATTTTTAACCCAAAGATAATGCAAACGATGTGGCGAAAAGTCAGATAATTGCCCATTATTCATTATTAACCTCCTTACGAATCCCCATCAGCGAAAAGTCCGTTCTTAGGCCTTCTTCTATCGCGCATCCTACACCGTGCGACCGTAAAATTATCTCGCAAATCAGACCTAACTCGGTTTTGGAATCATTCTTAAAGTAATCCGAAACGATTTACTTTTAGAAATATATGCCCCGTTTGGCCTTTTTCGAATGCGTATCACAAAGCACACTGTTTTTATCGAGCTATGCATCGACTTACACCGTCTTTATACCCTGTATTCAGATGGTGGTAAATTGTTAGTTAATGTATTTTCTACTTATGGGATTTTTAAGTTGTCGAACGCCTATTTATGCAGAGTAGTCCCGTTCGGTTTGCAAATGCAAATCCGCTTTCAAGAAGCATCCCGAAATATGTACTGGGCGGTGGGGTTAACTAAGGAGGGCTTTATTAGGGAAAGTTAAAATAGGTGTTAGATGATACGGCGATCTACCACTACCGACAGCAAATAACATACCCGTCATATTGATAGCCTACCAACCCTCGGTCCGTGTTTCGGTTCAGCCCTCTATTGACGTTTGATGTTTACTCCGGATTTATAAATATTCGCTAAGTGACGTGTAAATAAAGTATAATCAATATTTTCATGTATGTATTAAATCAATTGCAGTTAGATACACCAGCCGGGCCTAGCAATGCAACTGTTGACCGCATTAATCAACACGTTTGTCCAAACTTGCACTTTTGGTGACATTTATCATAAAACAAACTTCTGAGACTGTTTAATTGAAAACCCATACCGCTAATTTACCTAACCATGCAAAGTCCCTCAATAGTAAAACACATTGGATAATATCTACAAACAACCAAGCTTTGTCGTAGAAGTTTATTCTGTAGTAAATAGAAAAATATTTTGCATTAGTTAATTTATGGATTGTGAAACGACATTTAAGTTAATAAACTTCATGAGAGAACTCCTTTCGAGACACTCAGTTAATCGCCTTTATGACACACACGCATAACCAAAGCCCCTGTAAACTGCAAACGTAAGACGGAATAATTAACCAGTTACAAGTGAACTATAGTGTGTACAGCCTAGTTATTGTGGCGATCAACAACTTTAGCACATAATGGCGAGTTTCTTTTCCCTAAAACACTAAGCAGTATTTGCTATCATCCGAATAAATCACCTGACGTGTAGTTTGTTAAGCATTTCTGTAGACCAGCATATGCATTTTCTGTTCTTGGATTGCTGAAGAATTTGGCCTCCTCACAAATGCCTTCTTTGGGACAAAAGCCTGCTGTGTCCTCCAAGCTGTTTTCCACTTTAAGAAAAAAACCCAGTATGTAACAACGACGAGGCGTTATATCTGACTTGCCACTAAAAATCTCAGTAAAAATAAAACCGCTCACGTTTTGGCCAGCCATCGTATTCAAAGACGCATTTATTGAATGCACCAAAGGTCCCATTTATTCTCTTTATCTCAAGGAAGAAATCCATAGTGACCGAAAACATGTCGAAGTAATCCACTGAGCTATGTTCAACTAAAATAGAAAATCACTTGCGTATGAATGTTGACATCAAGGTTTTTTGGACTAAAAGTAGCCTAGGGTATTATACCTTTTGCAACAAAGTGACACAGGCTGACACACATGACGTGTCTCTCAAAGTTTTCCGCGTATCCGCTTCTTCCATACACGTCGTACGGCTTGCAGGGCTCGTTGAATTCTTCGCAGAAGTACACTGTCATTTTCTCGCTTAGGTCTCCTAAAGACAAGATTGGTTTTGTTATTTGCAATGCCAGCAAAGACGAATAGGAGTAATTAAGTGAATTAATATAAATCAGGCTGAACTGACATATCGTAGGAGTAAATACACTTGGTTAGGACGGACCTCGTTGCATTCCACACGCGTTACGACAGCCTTCGCCCTTGGTTTTGTCTTCAGCTCTGTAGCGCACAAGAGTGCAGTCTCTATGCTGTTTTTCACAAAGCTCATACGTTGGTGACTGGTCCCTGTACTCTAAAAAGTAAGGACGATTAAATTGCTTATTGGAGTTGGCGATTAAGAATGTTGGAGAATTGAGATTTCTCCCGACATTCTCATAAACGCAATATGCTTTAGTTTATTCGCTACAGACAATGGCAATCCTTCATTCAGCGTGTGCCATATATGATAATCAAAATTATAGCTGATTTGGATTTCACAGAAGTCGGAAAACTTGCCAAAAGCGACAGCAACCAGAAGCATAAACGTGTAAAACAGGGTTAACGAAGGGAGGTTCAACATTATGGACCACGGTCGCCGTACCAGTTTGTATTTGGGCTATTCGGCCCGGCTAATATAGTCAGATCTGGGTTTCTGTGGTATCTCATTGGTTAACCATTCTAGTAGTGGCATGATTGGATAATTTCATTGTTAGTAACAATGATTGTAAGGGACATTAATGCAATAACAGTAAGCATGACAGTTTCAAAGTGGCAAAATCACCCACGTTCACCCTTTCATCTTCATCTCCCTTCCTTCTGTATAAAGGCGTTTCCTTCCAGAGCCTTCGTATTTTAAACGCGTTTGCGGAATACTGAACAATCAGTACGTTTCATTTATTTGAATAAGGGCAAATGTCCGAGGGGTTAATCAGCAAACGTCTCTTAACAGTGGGGACATCAAACTGCAATAACTGTCAACATGCTGAAAGTGGTGCGTTGTCCTATCTAAGGTTAAGACAGTAATTGGCCGACCTTTTCGCAGCATTGTCTACCGACAATCGTCGTGTAAGATGTTCGCCAGGCCCCGTATGTAAAATAAAATCAACCTTCTGATCATGTAATCAAACTCCATAGATTCTCATTTCTTTGAATCTTTGCGCGCTTTCTTGTACAATGAGTGGATCCTTTATATAGGTCAGTATAGGTCAGTATATTTTAAGAGTAATAGGCAATGCCTTTGAAAACCCTATTGTAAACGGTACACGCAATATCTCACTATAAATAGACATGGTACTGAATTATTGTCAGTAATATACACATTTATCATAATATTTTCCGCGAAAATGTAGAACCAAAATTTTAGAACATTCAGATGTAGATGATTTCAGTAAAATGTAATGACGGTCATCCGCATCAGCGGTATGGGTATGCAAGGCGTTGGTTAAGCACCACAGAGCTGTTCTATTCAGGCAAGCGATAGTGTCCAAGCAAATATGCATCGAGTCTTTGCTTGAACGTCTCCGTGGTATCCGCCATTATTACGTCCTCGGGAAGCCCGTTCCAGGCACCGACGACTCGTTGTGAAAAACAGTATTTGCGAACGTCCAGTCGGCATCGAGATCCTCTAAGTTTTAGAGAGTTCCCACGCAGGTTTGTTGTTGTGGCCAGGGTGAAGAAATCGTCGGGGTTTAGGGCACATTCCCGGTTCCTCAATATCCGATAGGCCTGTATGAGATCTCCTCGAACCTGCCTGTACTCAAGAGGAAAAAGTTTAAGTTCCCTAAGTCGGCAGTTGTAAGGTAAAGCCCTGAGGCCTTTTACAATTTTTGTTGCTCTCCTCTGAACTCTTTCTAGCAACTTATAGTCTTTTTTTAGCCACGGGCGCCACGCTTGGATTCCATATTCCAGATGCGAGCGAATGAACGCTCCGTATA